AGAAGCAAAATTATTAGCTAAGGTTAGGGATGAACTTCGATGCCCATTAGGTGTTTGATAAAAGTTTTAAACCAATAAATTATGATTTATCCTTTATATATTGATTGTATATGACTATGGTGTACAACATAGAAGTATGTTAAATTTAGTTTATACTTGCAATTAACGTTGAAGTCTAAACTATGAACATTAAAGGATAAACATATATAGTACCGAGAATAGAAATATATACGGTCTTATATGATACGGGTGTGATGTCTTGATATTCAACGGGGTTTTCAGTAGATGAATGTAAGCCGTAACGGGACTTACACGTAACGAAAACCACGCTCTCGCTGCCTTAACCGGAGTTGAGAATATATTAGCGACATCGTATTCATAATTATTGGCAAAGAACTAATATTCAACCCTATTAAAGCATTTAAGTGATTCCCGAAGCCTTAGTTGTTATTATCATTCATCTTAAACTCAAATTTAGTTAACGATTATCTTTTGAACAAAAAGTGAAAAGCTAAAAATATAAAACACAAATCAAAATCCCTACTCTTTACTCATTTATTCATTTAAAGTCATCTACTCTCGGATTAAATTAAACAACGTTTCCTTATGGATTCGACCCGGTATTTACCGGAATTTATTACTATATCGGCACTTGTACACTTGCAAGTTTAGCCCGGTCAAGTTTTTGACGCCGTTGCCGGGGAAACGGTCTTGTTTTATAAAGTCCAAAGGAAAAAAAATATAAACAATCACTCAAAAAAATCCTGAATTTATTTTACTCTTCACAACTTCACTTGATCTTGGAAGGGTTTATTTTTGTGTGTGTAGATAATCCTTTGTGTTTGTATGCTCATAAGAAGTCAAGGGTCTAAGAACCTCGAAACTCTTGACCTTGAAATCGAAAGAACATACAATCACATCTTGAAATATACCCGTAAGACAAAGATGATGTGAACTCTCAATGAAAGGAAGAGGCCCGTGATTGCCGCCACTCCCTCGTGTATTGTCCTAAGCGAGGCGGCAATGCACTATGAAATGAAAAATAGTTACTTCAATGTTATGCCTGAATTTCATGGTCTTTCGGGGGAGAATCCACTTAACTTCATCACCGAGTTCTATGGATTCATCCAAGGAATCCCTATGCATGGTCTCACCGAGGACGACCTCAAACTCAAAAGCTTTCCCTATACCTTGAAGGGGGTGGAAAGGGGATAGTTCTTGGAGCAAGCACCATCGACCTACACAACGTGGGAAGATATCTATAATGCTTTTATTTCTAAGTATTACACACCCATGATGACTCAACAGCTAAGGCAATGGATCTTCAACTTCAAACAACAAGTTGGAGAACTATTCCAAGACGCATGGAGGCGTTTTAAGGCCTTGTTCAAGGAATGCCCACATCACCGCATTCCTCTTGATCTTCAAATTGACACATTCTACAATGGCTTGAACTCTTCATGCCAAGCCATTGTAGATAACCGTGCAGAAGGCTATATTGGTAACAAAACTGAAACAGAAGCATTGAGAATCCTCGAATCCATTGCTTCAAATCCTCAATTACAAGGAGGAGATATCAAAGTGGCCGGTGTGAGTGAGGTTTCCATAGCTCATGAACTGGACAAATGGTTTGCTGATTTTCAACAAGCCATGCATAAGAATATTCAAGCTTCTATTCACATGGCTTGACAAGCTGTGATTGGAGGAGCCAATCAAGTGGCCAATGTGGAGAGCATAACACATCTGGAAGGTAATTCACCTCAAACTCTTGAAGATGTGAATTATATGAACTCATATGGGAATAAGGGAAATCAAGGAAGCAACAACTACCCCAACAATCAACAAAGGTGGAACCAAGGTAACTCTTGGAAACCACAAAGGGGCCTTTCTAATCCTCCATCCATTTTTCCACAAGGGCAAACAATGGAAGAGATGATGAAAACCTTAACACAAAATATTATGGCTAGTGTGAAATCCCAAAATGAGGAGAATCATAGTAGATTGGAGGCATCCGTTGGGAATCTCCACTCTCAGTTCATAAAGCTTGATCTCCGGTTTGAAGATCAAAACTGGAAACTTCATCAACGCATGGACAACATAGAACAACACACCAAGTCATCTATTCACAACTTGGAGGTACAAATTGGACAAATTTCCGAAGGAAAATGCACTAGGGAGCAGGGACGGTTTGCCACAACAACGGAAATCAATCATAGGGAGAGCGTCATAGCTATTACCACAAGAAGTGTGAGAAAAACAGAGGACCCTAAGATGCCGGAGAGAAGGAAGACAATGGAGGAACAAGAAGTGGTTGCACATACAACGCTCCCACCTATCATGGCTCAATATGTTCCTCCCACCCCCTATCCACAAAAATTGAAAAAGAAAGGAGATGACAAGAAGTACAAGATTTTTTTTGATATTTTCAAGAAATTGAGCATCAACATACCTTTTGCAGAGGCCATCACGGAGATTCCATCATATGCAAAATTTCTTAAAGGTATCATCTCCAACAAAAAGAGGTTAGAGCAATTCACAATTGTGGCACTAACGGAGGAATGTAGTGCCATTATTCAAAACAAACTTCCTCCAAAACTAAAAGACCCCAGAAGCTTCACTATTCCATGCTCTATTGGAAAAGTCGGGGAGATAAGATCTCTTTGTGACCTTGGTGTTAGCATAAATCTTATGCCCTACTCTATTTAGAAAGCTAAGTGTGAGGGAACTCTAACCAACAACGGTCGCCTTACCACTAACGGATAGAACAATCCGTTATCCAATAGGCATCGTCGAGGATGTTCTTCTCAAAGTTGGAAAATTCTACTTCCGAGAAGATTTTCTTGTTTTGGACATGGAAGAGATGAAGATCCCCGTCATCCTTGGGAGATCATTTTTTGCCACCTCCGCAACCGTCATTGATGTACAAGCGGTCATGGTAAAGCTAAAAGTGGGAGGAGATGATGAGGTATTCCATGTATGGAAGACACAATCCACTCCAACTCAAAACATGGACGACAACACAAACCGTTTCACACCTCCCAAGGTCATAAACATCATGGACATCAAGAAGGCACAAATATTTGGGCTCGAGATCCTCCAACACACCCCGAAGACGTACTCGAGATTACACCAATGAACAACAAAGTTCTTCCGAAACTCTACCCGATGAAAGGAGGCACAGTGATCAAATTCTACCGGAGAAAAGCATCACATCCATCGCCTTAAAAGACGTACGTTCGTCCGGCCTATGATATGATGTTAAACTAAGCGCTAATTGGGAGGCAACCCAACAAAAAAAATCAATTATAAATAAATATGTTAGTTATACACATAATCATTTTTATTTATAATTGAACAAGAATCAATTATGAATAAATATGCTTATTTACAAAAACATATTCATATTTATTTATAATTGATGAAAAAATCAAATAAAAAATTAAAAAAAATTCAAAGAAAAAATAATTAAAAAAATCAACATCTCAGCTTAGGTATCATGGATTTCCTGCTCTCAAAAACACCTCGTTCCACTATCGAGGATTTCATCTTTCATTACATTCTCCAACCGACATTGAGGACAATGTATCTCAAGTGTGGGGGTGCATCTCATGGTTTGTTAAACAAATTTTGTGAGCAAAATAATTTTTTTAGGAAGGTAAAAGTTGCGATAATTCTCTTTTAAATGTGTATTTGGTTGAGAATGTTTTGATTATTCACAAAAAAACTATCATTTTTTTTAGATTTATTACATCACTCTTCACTCTTGAAAATCATTCCCAAAATAAACCTTGTGACTAGGAAACACCATCTTCTTCCATTTCCAAAAATGGTTAAAGTACATCTCAAAAATTCAAAAAAAAAAAAAATCAACATCTCAGCTCAGGTATCATGGATTTCCTGCTCTCAAAAACACCTCGTTCCACTATCGAGGATTTCATCTTTCATTACATCCTCCAACCGACATTGAGGACAACGTATCTCAAGTGTGGGGGTGCATCTCATGGTTAGTTAAACAAATTTTGTGTACAAAATAATTTTTTTAGGAAGGTAAAAGTTGTGATAATTCTCTTTTAAATGTGTATTTGGTTGAGAATGTTTTGATTATTCACAAAAAAAACTATCATTTTTTTAGATTTATTACATCACTCTTCACTCTTGAAAACCATTCCCAAAATAAACCTTGTGACTAGGAAACACCATCTTCTTCCATTTCCAAAAATGGTTTAAGTACATCTCAAATATTCAAGAACCATTTTGGAAAACAAGACACCCCCATATCTCATCAAATAAATTGGGGTGATCAAAATGACTTTCAGTAAATGTTTGTTGAGAATCAATTCAAATGAGTTGTAAAAAAAAACTCATGGTCTATTTAAGGAATTTCAACTGATCCACTTCTATACTGAAAAGTCAAACACACCAAAAAGCCATCTTACACACCCAAAAAGTCATAGTCACAATCCACTCATCTACTCTCAAAGGTATAAGTAATTTTTCTAAATCTAATGATAGTTTTGTATGTCTAATAGAAATTTGGTTTTGGACCGAGAACGATAAAAGAGTTTACATAATTTTTTACCTCTCTTACAATTAAAATTATTTTTATTCATATATTTTTGTTGAAACTAACCAAGACATCCAAAGGTGATAGATAACATTGCTCGAAGACTAGCAACGCTCAAGTGTGGGGGTATTTGATAGCCTTTATATATACTTGTGTTTAACATAAGTATTTGTAAGTAATTGTTGAAGAAAAGAAGAGAAATTGGGAAAATATCTTGAGAATGAGCGTTAGAGCATAAAACATTGCGACGAGGAGCTTTTTGGACTAAGAGGATGACGTTCTGCCCATAATTCGAGTATAACTTATTGTAGAGAACTCGAAATCACTCGATTTGAAATTCATGTGAATGATAACTCAATAAGGTACAAATGTTATGAAGACATCATGGCCAGAATATGAAAGGAACAAGTCTCAATCAACAAATAAAGTCAGATGTTGCTGGTGGGATTTCAGGATGCATACCTCTCAGTGTTTTGTTCATAACTTTTAATTGGATGACTAAAAACATGTCATTCAAGTTTTGTTAGATAGAAGACTTCATTATCTACAACTTTGGTGAAACAAGCATGTCCAAATTCATAGCAGAACATCCCCAAAATCCCAGAACAAAACCGGCGCCGGAATTGCACCATAACCGGCGCCGGTCTGATGTGTTTTGCACAAGGCACTTTCCAGTAGCTTACCCGGCGCCGGGTAGGCCTGATGGACAGCGCCAGGTACCCCATTTTTTCATATATTTCTGCGCATAACAAAGAACCGGCGCCGGGTAGGTCTGAAACCAGCGCCGGGTAGGTCTGAAACTGGCGCCGGGTAGGTCTGAAACTGGCGCCGGTTAGGTCGATTATGCACAAAACACAGCGACGTGCTCCATATTTTTGATGGGAAAACTTCACCTTCTTCATGATTTCATCAAATATTTCTTCCATTCCAAATTGTTGGGCTTGAATAGACCAAAAGATGACATTCTGTACCCTATATAAAGCCCCAATTCAACATACAAAGGCATTCCATCTTTGGAACTAAAAATTCAGTTTTTATATTTCAAAATGATGTAAATGTGGTCCTTTTGATGGGTGAAATATACAATGTGGACAATAGTACATTTCATCACTTAAAGGACCACATTTACAACAATTTGGACAATTGAGGGGTGACATTTACAATCTCAGAAATACAGGTATGAGATTTTAATTTCGTGGATAACTGAGGAACCATATATGCGATTTTCCCTATTTTAGTTTTGCATTTTCTTGAAGAGTTGGAGAACAAGTCCTTTTTCTCCTCTACAATTGGTTCTATGTAATTTTTCTTGTATGTTATTATATTTCCTTGTTCTTAGTTACAATTTTGTAATTAGTATGAGCTCAAGAAGCTAAATTCTTAGCTAAGGTTAGGGATGAACTTGTATGCCCATTAGGTGTTTGATAAAAGTTTTAAACCAATAAATTATGATTTATCCTTTATATATTGATTGTATATGACTATGGTGTACAACATAGAAGTATGTTAAATTTAGTTTATACTTGCAATTAACGTTGAAGTCTAAACTATGAACATTAAAGGATAAACATATATAGTACCGAGAATAGAAATATATACGGTCTTATATGATACGGGTGTGATGTCTTGATATTCAACGGGGTTTTCAGTAGATGAATGTAAGCCGTAACGGGACTTACACGTAACGAAAACCACGCTCTCGCTGCCTTAACCGGAGTTGAGAATATATTAGCGACATCGTATTCATAATTATTGGCAAAGAACTAATATTCAACCCTATTAAAGCATTTAAGTGATTCCCGAAGCCTTAGTTGTTATTATCATTCATCTTAAACTCAAATTTAGTTAACAATTATCTTTTGAACAAAAAGTAAAAAGCTAAAAATATAAAACACAAATCAAAATCCCTACTCTTTACTCATTTATTCATTTAAAGCTAAGTCATCTACTCTCGGATTAAATTAAACAACGTTTCCTTGTGGATTCGACCCAGTATTTTACTGGAATTTATTACTATATCGGCACTTGTACACTTGCAAATTTAGCCCGGTCAACAAGCTGGCACGCTCTCTAGAGTCGGGACGGGCCATGATCCTTACATCTATTCTATTAAGAGTCCATGCAGTCGAACACGATCCTTAGCCTCGGTCGGCCTATGGCCCCGTCTATCTATTAACAAGTGTGTGTGGTCGACATCTATCCTTAGACTAGTGTTGAGCCAATGGCCCTTGCTACATTGAACAATCAATGACAAACATCTTAAAGACTACCCGGAAAACAACACTGACTAGCCAATAGCTAGGATCAACATATCATTTCAAACACATAAGGCTATCCCAAGTGAATATTGTAGGCCTAGTCACAATGGGAAATCCTAACATTATGATCAATTTATTAAAGTTCACACTACAACGTACCTCGGGCTAGTCACTTAGTACTACCTGAGTTGTCCTCAGTTCATTTACCTTCTCCTTTCAAACGAGCATGGCAGCCATGCCATGGCTCATTCCCACTACTTTATATATTGACTTTATATCCATAAAGTCAATATAATTAAATAGGAATTTATTAATCATCTTTATAGTTCATCACTAATTAATTCACCTAGCAAAATAGCAAGTAATTATGCTTCATTTACTCATACGCCAATTAAGCATGCATCAATTCTTCATATGCAACAATATGATCGATTGAAATTTTATTAGGCATCATAATTAATTAAAGTCATGCTTTTATAAATTCGGTAATCTCATTAATTAACTCACTAGTTATAATAGTCAGTCATCCCCACCTTAAACAAGTTCAACAAGCTTCCCTATCGAAGCCCCAAGGTTACACCCCCAACTAATGATGAGCCGATTTTGATGTTCTCGAGCAGTGAGCAAAAGTCGGGAGGCTTTTGAAAAAGCTGGGGGGGGGGGGGGGGGGGTTCGGCCCTGCAACACGGAACAACCTCCTTTCAATGGCGGTTTCCGGCGATTTCAAGTTTTTTCAATTCAACGACTCTTCTAAGTTAAAAACCAACACTTTGTGTCAATTTTCTACACTTTCAAACATGTTGAAAAACATAGATAATCCATCAAATGATTTATTACAAATCGTTATCTCTAAATATATATTTATGAAATAGTTACCTTCAAATCCCAATTTATCTCCTCGATTTTCTTCTCATTTGCTCTTCTCTTCTCCTTGGACATGGATGACTATTTTGCTGAGACCCTCTCTCCCTTTCTTGGCTATCTAAGACACTCTCTAATGAGTGGATGGAAATGAGTCCTCCTTATCCTTATCTTTTTTTAGCACATTTTCGGCCCACAATCCTTTAAATGGTCCTCTTTCCTATATTTCCTTGATCCATTTTGTATGAGTCCTTCCCCAAATGAGAGGAGAAAATATACTCCCCTTCTACTTACTAAACATAGAGCCTGTTTGGTAACACTAAAATTGGTTGAATTGGCTGATTCTGTTGAAATTTATGAAGTTCTGACTGAAGTGGCTGTATTGGCTGATTCTGTTGATTCTTAAAAAAATTATATTTAAAATATTCGGTATTAATAAATAAAATAGAAAATTATATGAAAAATAGCTAAAATGATTCTCTACTGTAACTTCAGCCAATGCAGCCAGAAAAGTAACTCCAACCTTACTTTTTCTGCTTATTACACAATTCAGCGCGAGAAATCAAAAGTTACGTGTTTGGTGAAAAAGCTGCCTAATAAGCCAAAAAAAGGATTACCAAACGGGCTCTAGTAAGTTGGACTCGATAGGTTGGACTGTTCAATGTCTTATTATTAATCCTGCCCAAATAAGTCTTGTACTTTTATTAATATCATCATGGACTAGCAAACTTTAGTAGTTTGGTCCTAAAACATATTGGGTAGTCCTCCCTAATATTCCGAGTACCCGTCATCAATTGGGTTACCCCCTTCCCTATTATTTTGGCTCATTTCTCTATATATTATTCCTTTCATTATTATTGGCCTATCAAATAAATAATCACTTTTTGTCATATTATTAATATAGCTAGTGACTTGTTTCAAAATGAATATTATAGTCACTGAATCTGCTAATCACTCTTGTTAGGATTAGTATTTATAGTTTAAATTAAGTTTTAATATTGATGGATAAATAATTCAAGTTCAAATTGGGAGTGGTGTCACATTACAATACATAATACTCTATACTAATTTAGAGCCAAAATTAGAAAAAAGATTATTAAAATGATTTGAAATTTAAATAAATTTGGTTTCAGGTGCACGGTTTACCTAGCAGCATTAACATGTGTATTGGGTGGGAACGTATTTTTCTGCGTGTCTTTTAATGTAATTTTATATTTTTCAGTCACTCTTTCATCTATTTTTACCAAATAGGTATAGTTCATTCAGCTAACAGTTCAGATTCAGCACATAATGGTTTAATTTCAGACAATAGTTTCCAATTCGTCCAATAACTCTTAATTCAAGCATTAGCCTCTAGATTAAGCTCGCAGTGTGAAACATAACCTAATTCTACTTCTGAAAACGTAAGAGCTTTTTAATGCTCAAATAAATAGTAATTTTACGTTCATCCACCAAAACTTGTCATTTTTTTGAGAAGTTCATCACTTTCTTTCTAAAGTCGCTAATTTGTGATTGTTATTAGTATTCACTCATCTACACGAATATATGTCATATAGTTTTTATATTACTAATTTACGTGTCGATTAAACTTGATAAATTTTTATAAGAAATACTTATTTTGAATGGAGTTATTATACATACTTCATATTCAAATACTTATTTACAATAAGCGTGATCGAAAATATTTGAATAGTCTACTTACGATAGCGCACTAATTTCATATGGAGGCTCATCTCTAACCAAACACCATTGAAAATACATCATCATATCAGAATCCTTTTATTTCCGCTATTCTCTTCTACTCTGTATTAATTAGTCTTTCCTTAGCTTATGTTGGAAGCCACACCACAATACGAAAACAGTATTCATAAAGAACTTTTGTGTTTATATTGATAGTCCCCAGGACCGGGGTAGTGAGAACTGAGTGAGTCACCGGAAAACACAGGTATAAGGTGAGTATAAAATCCGATAGAGTAACGGTGTGCTAGAAAATGATTTCCAGATCCCTTTCCATAGGTTGGAAGGTGAATATTTATACTAAAAATATATAATATTTGACGAACAAGTAAAATAGCTAATCTGGTAAGAATGTGCCATGTGTAAGGCTAATTGGTGAGAAAATCACTTATTGATTGATTGATTGATTGGTACGGATAGTTGTCCTTTGATAAAAGAATGTCGTGATAAGCCACTCGTGTATGGCGATAGGTTGTTGTTGTAATGGATTGGGTGATGCCAACCCTAGTTGATTTTTTCTTGGTGACATAGTCCTTGATTTGTCTAGAATGCTTGTGCTGAAATATCTACGTTCACATATTTACACAGATCGCTGAGCTCGGCTTGGTGTGAGTCTGAGAATGCTTAGCTCAAATAAGGTGAAGCTTGCCTCGGCTATGGCAAACCCTAGCCCAAGAACGTTGAGGCTCAGCTCGTATAGTCGTATATGATAGAGCTCCGCTCAGGTGACACTTGGCTCAAGAATGGTGAAGTCTAGCTCGGGTATAATGAACTTGGCCTAAGCAGTAGTTGGTGTTATCTTATCGATCTAGGACATTTGATGCCGGATTCGGCTTCAGGTCAAATTGTTGTTCCGGAAATGACTCTGATCTCAGCTTGGGGGTTGAGCTAGGCCGAATCTACCTTAGTTGTTTGCGGAGGTTCCTTCATTTAAAGTTTATATTTGTGGGATATATGGCAATATATTCCAGCATATATAATGGATGTAACGGGTATTTTTTTTCAAGCCATACTGCTCTAATTTAAAAACGTCTGAAACTACCACAATTTTCACCATAAGAACAACATATGGTAACAGACAAACGGGTAAAACGGTACAGACTAAACGTGGAGAAGTTATAAGTCATGAATGTAGCATATAACTTATTGGACCAAGAATGAAGTTTATTCAAAATAAAAAGGGTCAGATTTATATTGTCCAAGAATACTCAAGTTGTTACGATTAATTTAACCAGAGATTACTATGATAGTAGCGCAATAATAAGAATTCATTAATGAGTAAATCATAGTCATCAAATACATAGTTATGTAATGTATGTAGGAATATATATGTTTTTTATGTAGGAATACATGTTATATACATTAATTAATGTTTTCTTAACAGCGTAACACAAAAGTGAAAATGAATGTCCTCATCAAAGAGACACTCTTTACTCTATAGTCTATACTGTTTCTACATGAAATGCGTCTTGCCTCGATTCCCAATTTTCCACCCTCATTTCCCCGACATAAATAAAGCAGACACAAATGGAAAAGGTTGTAAACAAGGGAGAGAAAACCACCTAGTATAGTAGATTAGTAGTAAACAACCAGAAAATGAAAAAAGAAGCTACTGCGAGAGAGAAACACATTCAAGCTCAACTTCTAAAACTCCCCTCTCAACATTCTGCAGCTTTAAGGCTATTTCCTGCTTCACAGTCCCTTCCACGAGGCTTATAACACCATCTGCAACCAGTGTGTTCTCTTGACCTGCTTTCCACGTCCCCAGCTGCATCGTTTCATTCTTGGAGGAACTTTCACAAGCTCTGGCGGCTGAAACAAGAGGCTGAATGTCAATCTCTGCTTCCCCCATAAAATCATCCGTTGTAAATGTATCTTTGTCAAACACATGCTGCAAAACCATTGTGGGTGCACTTGAACTCAGATGCCACCGCAAATAAAAAATATCTTTTAACATAAGAAATTGAACAAGTCAGCGAGGTATTGGAGTTAAAAAACTCACCACTTTTAGAGGGGGGATGTTCTCTGGAATTGACAACATTAGTTGCTCATTCCATACTGGGTTTAAATTGTTTTTTATGACACGTGTCTTTACCGACTGCAAAATAGAAAGATGTCAAAGCTAATTGAAACAGTACGTGTAGTACCAATATATGTAGCCATATCTTAAGCACAACACACCAAAATGAATCGTAAAAGAGATATCCATCTTACCTGGCTTCCTAATGATAGAATAACATAAGGATCACTGGATACCATATCCCGGATAGCAAGGTTGGTACCCCTCACCACATTGACTTTGACCAATCCTATGAATTCAACCATACCTGCCTATAGAATCATAGTGAATGTGTTACACATGCCTCAAACAATCATAGTTAATAAACCTCAATTACATTAGAACTGAAGATCCTGAAAAATACATGATGCTTCCGACATGAGGTTTCTGAAATTTTAAAATACAAGTATTAAAACTAGAGGTTGCATCTTAAAAGTACAACCTTATAGGAGTATGAGTCCAAGAGCTTATATATGGGTTTGTACCTTTCTACTTGACTGGAGTAGGAGGACTTACCATAGCTTACAAGTTAGTGTCTCAAGGAAGTGAGGAACAAACTAATCTTAAGTCAGTATGGCCCTTATTGAGGTTTCATTATGGTCAAATTGCTAAATAGAGTCCAACATACTCTCATACCATATTAAGACTAAGAGATTTCATTCTAAAATGTCCAACCTATAAGAAAACTGACCCAAGGGTTTACATGAGGGTTTGTATGTTTCTATTTGACCGGTATAGAATAGCTTAACAGTAAGAAACAAATTCTTGCAGCAGAATGACTTACGGTTGAGTTACTTTTCCTGTTTGGCTTCTGATTATCAGATTCTTTCTTTCTCCAGCTGTTCCGAAATGCGTGACCAAGACCATGGATTCTGTGACCACTAGAATGTTTCTTCTCTGAGGATGAAACGGAAGAAGTTGCAATGGGGCACATCAACTGTAAATCGGAGTTCACAAACTGTTTCAGCTCATATTTTCTCCTGAGTGGATATCCAAGACGAGAAACTTTCAGCATATAAATATATTTCTTGTGAGCTTATTAGGGGATTGAAGGATAACATACTACCTAATAAAGTCAGATCGTTCTTCTATAGACGAATCTGGCTTTGGCTTTTTATAATTATTATCTGGACGGGAAGCTTCATACTTCAGATTTGCAACTTTATTTCCTCCCATCTCATTTAGCATGTCTACTTGCTCATGTGTCCACTCATCTAATTTCACTGAAAAAACCTGTGAGGTGTGTAATTCATTCATATGAGGTGGCAGCTGGACACGGGATTCACAAGCTACTCATCATCCAATGAGGAATTTGATAGAGGTTGATTAA